TCTCGCTTTCTGTCTATCTCTTTCTGTCTTTTTGTCAAGCGCAGGCACCCTACAGCAAAAACAAAAACAAAAAAACTCTCCAAAAAAAGATAGACAAATGGAATCACATCAAAGTTAAAGTTTCTGCCCAGCAAACAAACAGACAGACAAACAGACAGGATGGGAGAAGCTATTTGCAAGTTATACATCTGAGAAGGGATGAATGACCAGAACGTATCAGGAACTCCAACAGCTCAACAGCAAAAGAGCAAATGACCCAATTAAGAATGAGCAATCCATCTAAACAGTTCTTGAAAGGTGACATACAGACGGCCAAAAAGCTCACGAAAGAATGATCCTAAGGGAAGTGCAAATCAGACCACAATGAGGTGGCCCCTCACACCAGTTAGAAGGGCTAGTAGCAAAACATATAGAGCGAGATTTAAGAAATGCCATCGTTATGATCAATAAGGTCCTTCCATTGTTGTTTGTTTTTATTTAAAAAAAAGTTTTGCTTAGACATAACTGACATAAAATTCACGGTACATAGTTTTAGTCCTTGGCTTGTTCTGATTCATGTATCTGAAGTCGTCACCACACGCAGGCAGCTCCGATACCCACACCCTCAGCACAGTCCTCCCGTCTCTGCTCCTTCCTCCAAGCACCCACTGGCCAGGTTCCTGTCACTGTAGAAAGTTCGCACTTCCTAGAGTTCACATAAAAGCAATCATACAGATGTGTTCTTTTTGGTCTGGCTTCTGTGACTTGGAGTGATTACTTCGGGGTCAGAACTAACGTTGTTCAGCAGTTCATCCCTCTCTCCCACTTAAACCAGACAGTGGCGTGTTAGTGCATGTGCACACCTGCTAGTTCATGACAGTTTTTTTTTAACCAACTTGTGGTGATTACAAATAAAGTTCTGTGAGCATTCATGTACAAGTCTTTGTAGATACATGTATTTTGTTTTCCCTTGGAAAAATAGATTGCAGTGGGAAAACCGTACAGTAGGTGACTTAATCTTCTAAAGCAACAGCCAAACTGTTTCCCCGATCAGCCCGAGAATTCCAGTCTCCACGTCCTCGTCAACACGCGGCGTGAGTCTTTGACTGCTTCTCATTCTAACAGGCGGCAATGGTATCGCTTTGTGGTTTATAATTTGCATGTCTCCGATATCTAATGATGTTGAGAATCTTTTTATGTGCTTACTTGTCGGCTATGTATCTTCATGGCTGATAGCTTTTGACTAATAACAGGTGCTAGATTTGTCAGAAATGTCTGCATCTATTGAGATGAGCATATGTTTTCCTTCATAGTTTGTTAATATGGTGAATGGCACTGAGCGATGTCTGACTATGAAGCCAACACTGCGTTCCGGGGATACACTCCATTAGCAGGGGTGTGCAAGCCTTTGATGACATTATGGGATCAAATGCTATCAGTGTGCCACCATTTTGCTTACAATTTTTGCAACTATGTTTACGGGGAATATTTAATGTTCTTGCCTTGTTTTGGTATCACGGTAACTCTGGCTTTATAAAACGAGCTGCAAAGTGCTGCTTCCTCTTCAGTTGTTCAGGAGTGGCACAGAGGGTTTGTCAGTAACGATCCCATGGGTCATTGCAATAGGAAAGTAATGAACTCGCGTGGAGTAAATAAACACGGACCATGTTGGGAAATGTGGAATAAAAGAACATGTCAGCAGACACTGTCCTACTGTACTAACAAGCTGCGACCATGATTCACATTTACTCTCCCTTTAACCCCTGCTCCCACCCCGAGGGGGGTCCCTGTCTCTGACTGACAGATGAGGACCCAAGAGGCCGTCACTGGCCCAGTGTCTCCAACTGGAAGAAGCTGTCACAAACTACATCCAGTGTCAGCCTTCTCCCCGCCTCACCTCAGGGCAGCTGGGACCGTGCTGCCCACAAGGTTGAGCCATTTCCCCTCTTCTGCACTTCGTCACTGCTGGAGACAGAACTGTGGGACTTGGAGAGGGAACTGAACAGCCTAAATGAGTGAGAGACGTTGACTCCCATTGGACAGAGCCCCGGAGAGACGGGCGTCATTGCCCACAGGGATGTGTTCTCGGTTTTCTGTGTTCAGGGGTGTGGAAACGTTTTTTTAAATTATTATTATTTTTTAATTTGACCAGAGAGAGACAGAGAAAGGAAGCAGGAAAATGAGAAAGCAAGTTGCCAGGTCTGGGACTTGAACCCTGGTCTGCTTGTGGGAGCCCGACACTTCAACCACCATGAAACCTGCCAGCCTCTGGGAACCCTTTGAAAAGTCTCTCTCTCATCTCAGGGACATTGGACAAATGGATATAGGATGTGGATTTTCCTCCTCACAGGCTTCTCATCTCAGGGACACTGGACAAATGGATATAGGATGTGGATTTTCCCCCTCATAGGTCTGATGCTCAAGGTAGGGCCTCAGAAGTCCGTGAAACGGATGTGTCAGGGTGTAAATGAGGGACTCATCGTTTACATTGAAGAAGGAGATGGCCCCGCCCTCATAGTCCAGGAAGATCCCCACTCGTCTGGGGGGCGTTTTGGGAGAGAGGTTGATGATACTGGGATTGATTGTAAAATAATTTTGGTCTGCCCGCAGTCCAAGGACCCAGTATCCGTAATTGGGAGACAAAATCCCACTCTTATCCCTCCTGTCCACGTCGTCCCGGCACACTCCCAAGGACCAGTACTCATTGCAGCCCACGTCCACCTCCCAGTAATGTTTCCCGGTCTGGAAGGCCTGAGTCGCCACCACACACTTCCTGGTAAACCTCTTCTCTGTCTGCGGCACATCCTGGGGAACATTCCTGTAGCACATAGCTCTTAGATTGGAAATGTGGAACTGGGGGTGAGCCGTGTCTGGATCCAGCGTCACCTCCACTGAGGTGCAATGGGAAGGGGGAGAGAGAATAGGAGTTACTACTGGGGGGAGGGTGTGGGGCTTAACCTGAGGTTGACACTCTGCCCCTCCCCCCGCAGGCTGGTCCGGTGGGATCAGATGAGTCCCAAAGTCAGTGTTAGTCACGCACTGCTCCTCCAGCCCTTCCTCCTCTCCAGGGCCGTCCTGGGGCTCCCTGGGGACATGTCACCTTTGAGTTCATAACTGCTGTACACGGCCCAACCTCTAATCTGCCCTCATTCTTAAAGCTATTTGTGAGGCCTGAGTGACTCCACTGTCCACCATCCTCCTGCCTACCAGCTCCTGTCCAGCTTTCCATCCTCTTCAGCCCTGGTCACTCACTACTGCCCCAGTCTCCAGAGCTTTGCCTGTGGTCCCCATCCTGACCGACCTGAGTCCTGCCCCACCCTCTCCCAGACTCGGCCGTGGGTGTGTCTGAGGGTGCTTCACTCTGGGGCGGACTGGAGCATCACAGATTCCTTGTCTGTAGGTCACATGGTCCCCCGTCTTCCACTGGTCAGTCTCTCCGTTATGCCCACTGAGGCTGTGGCCCACTGCCCCCCAGGCACTGGTACCTGTGTGTTTCTGGGCCTCTCTCCACTCTGAAAACAGACAGAGCAAGTGGTTCAGTGCTCATGCAGAGAGCAGGGGGCAGAGAGATGGGAGACGCCGGGGGTGGCTGACCCCCTGGGGTGTCCTGGACCACAGGGACTCACAGAGGCCGTGGAGCGTCTCTACACAATGCACTTGCCCAGTGTCTGCAGACCATTTTAGGACACCCATCATGAGCTGTTAACCCCAGGGACTCAGGGACCTCAGACTACAGGATGCATCAACTTGGAAGGAAGAGATACACGGGGGTTGGAGGAGGGTACCTTCTCTCACCTGCATGTCCATGCGTCACTTCCCAGTCTGAAAACAAAAATAACAAAGACTCAAATTCCATAACAAGCGTGGGGGAGAGTATAGGAGGAAAGTTCTGCATGAAATATGCTCTTACCCAGTTTTTCCTGGCATTTCTCTGGAACAAGAAGCAGAGTATTCAGTGGTGATCCAGGCCTGGTAAAGGCTCAAGGCAGGGGAGTTGGGGATGTCCTCCAGTCCCCTCTCTGCTCTGAGTCTGCACCCCCTCCATGAGCACCTTAAACTGACAGTCACGCTCCCCATACAACAGAGCAAGAGGTCAATTTGTAGACGATGTTCGGGACTTTAGACCCTGACGCCCACCATAAACCCACTATGTATCTGAGAGCTCACGTCACTAGCTAACGGGTGGGAGGTGGAACCAGCTGCTCTCACTGGCCTGCAGGGTTCCTGTTCAGTCTGGGGCCAAGATAGTGGGACAGGGAGGGACCCAGTGGGACAGTGTGGAGGCTCAGAAATGACAAGACACTTAATTTTTCTTGAATTTTCTCTGAAACGGAAACAGAGTTCAGCAGTCAACACAGGAATGTGTGAGGCACACACAGAGCCATGGCTCCTTGTTCAGGTGGGACAACCTGTGGGTCTGAAGGGCAGGGGCTAACACTTTCCTTCCTCACCCACCCCGACCCCTGCAGTGAATGAACAGCGGCATCTAGGGTAGGACGTCAGAACAGGTGCTCTGTAAGAGGTTGGGGCTACCAGGGAGAAGGTGGCTGGGAGGGCAGGTGGGATTATGAGGGGCACTCTCAGGGGTGTGAACCCCTAGGAGAGACAATCGCTTCACAGGGGGATAACTTACTGAGGTTGAATATTACTGCAATTATTACATCTCCTCTTTTATAAAGTATCTCTAAAGTGCATTGAAACACTGGCCTAGTTTTGACTTTGTTAGAAAGTCTCTACCAGATCTACAGTACTGAAACTAATTCTTACCCCACGTCTGAGCTCTGGAGACTGGCATTTCCTGAGGGAGTCATGAGAATTGTGGTCCCTGTGTCCAAGGAGCTGAGTCCTTGGAGCTCAGGGCTGGAAGAAAAGGTCTAGGTGCTGCCTAGGAGCGTCTCTGACCCAGCTGCAGTGTAAACACCTCCAGCACGGTTATGCCCATACTTCTCTGTCTCACTTACCACGGGATCTGACAAAAGAAATGGTCAGCCCAACGATACCAGCACACAGGCCAAAGAAGAGGAGCATGAGTAAAATAGAAGTCGCAAGCCACGGTGAGGGCTGGAAAAACACCTCTGAAAAATAGTCCCACAGACACAGTGATTACTGAACAACAAAGGCAATTCAATTTCATTTAAGGAATTCCCTGTACTCCAAGATGAAAATAATATTTTTTTATAATTCTTTAAGTTAAAAACTTTGCATTTCTGAATAATCTTGATCCACCTCAATTATATTTTCTTTTATTGGGTTGTCAGGAAAAGTCATGATACATTTTTGTATAGAAAAATATATCATAACTTTCCTGAAAACCCAATACATAAAATGAGGTGGAGTTTTGATTTCATTCTTTTCTGAATAGACATCTCTGCTAGCCTTACTTACAGAATGGACCTTTCCTCTCACGCAATGTCACCTTTGTCTAGATCATGTTTATGTTAGGAGTTGTGTCCTGCATTGCTGTTCTGTGTCATCGTTCCATTTGTCTATATCTGTGCCAATAATTTCAATTGGCTTAACCATTATAGTTTGCGGATATGTCTTGATATATAGTAGACTATAATTTGTACTTTTTTATTTTAGAAAGATTTTTGCTATTGGGCATGTGCACTTGCTGGAGATACAGAGAGAGGAGAGAAAGTGAGAAATCTTCCAGGGGGATGGCCATGGCTCAATCCCTTCTCCTCCATTCGCCTCTCTGGATTTTGGACACACACATGCACCTAGTGTGAGTTTCAAGCCACCAGATGCGGGACTCCAACCACAGTTGGCCATGTAGGAGTCCAGCACCTTAACCACTACACTCTGCTGGCTCCTATAGCTTGTTCTTTTTCACCTGTGTCTTGGCAATGCTCAATCTCTTGATCTGCAACATACACTGATGTGCCAAGTTATATATGTATAAAAACTCCTCTGAGGGGGACCAGCAGTTGGCATAATGGCTATGTCACTGGACTCCCATGTAGTTGACAGCGGTTCGAGGCCTGGACCCCGTGGCTTAAACTCCCATTT